CTCGTCGTCCCTCCCTCCTGGGAGATCAACCCCTGCCCCAAACACCTGGATTCTCTCAGCTTGAGCGTGTGTGCCTGGGGCCAGGGCAGTTGGCACGCAGCACACTGGGGCCCAGATGGGCCTGGCCACCATCCCTCCACCATCATCCGTCATCTATCATCATTCACCCATCTATCCATCCATCATCCATTCATTCAACCTGTTTGTACAGCCCCCACTGAGAGCCAGGTGCTGTATGCAAAGCCTGGGCCCCCTTCATGAGCTCACATTCCTAGCAGGGGTGAGGGGAGGCCCACGGGAGACATGCGTTGTGTCTGATGAGGAGGACCAGGAAGAGGCCAGGTGTGGCTATGGGGCAGAAGGGGTGACGAGAGAAAACACACCTGGAAAGTGCTTTGCAAATGTCCCCGCCCTCAGGGGAATTTGGGTTTTGGAAGGTTGCTGCGGCTGACCCTAGGATGAAATGAGGGGACAGTCAGTGCAGTGTCACCTCGGGGGGACAGAGGTCTGGGCAAGGCAAGGGTGGGCGAGGTCTGCCTGAGAGGTTGGAGGAGGGTGTCCTAGGGCTTTAGGGGGGCTGGCAGGACCCTGCCCCTGGTCGAATGAGTCAGCACCGCCCCTGGCCTCTTGTGGGTCATTGAAGTTCCACTGGGACCCGGTGCTGATAGGTCCCCACTGTCCCCTCCCAGGCCCGTCTCTCAGCCCCTACATGATTTTCCCCCAAACCAAACAGCTGGACTGGCCACCTAGCTGAAGTTCCCATCTTGAATTCCAATCCTGTTTCTGTCAAGAACTGGTTACCATGGAAATGTCCTTGGGACAGGGTGGAGTGGGAGGCAAGCGGAGGGGGCGGCCTTCCCGCAGGGGCCACTCTGCGCGTGGGGGGAGGGGTCTCCAGGACCCACTCCTCATCCTCCCCCCACCCGTGGTGCCCTTCAGAGGACAGCGTCCTGCCACAAAGGACGGAGACTCAGGCACGGAGGAGCCCGCTGCGGAGCTGGTCCCATTCGTCTGCGAGCCTGTGCATTAGAGTTCCTTTCCTTTCCTTCCCGGAGCAGCGGGGGCCGGGGCTCGCCGGGCCTGGAGTGAGAGTCTAATTCAGAGCTGCTGCGCGGGTACTAGGTTCCCACAGCCACACGCTCAGGGGCGGGAACAGGTGGGGAGGGCGGGCCGTGCAAATTAACGAGTGAGACCCGATTAATCTGGCTGCGTCAGCAAATCCACAGGGAAAGCCAGACGAGGTTGGACAGATGTGTGTGAGTGTGAGCACGCTGCGCTCCGCCGTGCGCCGGGCCCGAGGGTGGCGCTGGCCCAGCCTGGCCCTGGGCCCCGGGAGACACCGGCCTGCTGGCCTTGCTGGGCTCTCTGGCTGAACTCATCTGTGCAAAGGGCCATGGGAGCCACCATCTCAAGTGCTCAGCTGGCCAAAGGGGCAGGAAGCAAGGACTGCCTGTGAGTGGCCGCAGCCCCCGCCAAGGACACAGGGCCTCCTTCCCTCATAGACATGTGCCTGGCAGGCGATTCCAGCCCTGGCCCAGGCCAGGATGCCAGGCTGTGTCTGAGCCCTGGTCAGGGGTGGGGGCTGGGCCTGACCTCAGGAGTCCTCGGGCCAAATCAACTCTAAGTCTGAGGCCTCCTGCCTCAGAGCTGTCTGGACAGCGCTGTCTAACCTCAGGTCTCTGGCCTCGGCCCAGGCTGAATAATCTCAGGGTAAGTTGTCAGAATCTGGGACTTTGGCAAACCCCCCAGGCGATTCTCTGTGCCTGGCTGAGTGGATGTCCATGGTTCCCAGGGCTACATTCCTGTGTGCCCCTTCCTCCAGGAAGCCTTCAAGATTGGCCCAGCTCACCATGCTCCCCTCTCCCCTCTGACCAATATTCTCGGGAGCTCAAAACCCTAACGAGTCCCAGGGGATGAACCTAAATGCAGAGGCACGAGGGAGCATCCTCACCTGCCACATGATGACAGGAAAAGGCAAATGTCACTTCGTCAGCCAGGGACAAAGCCGGCTTGTGCCTCACCTTCCCAGATTGCCAAAGGGGCATAATGATGGCCCCTGCTTCACAGGGAAGGTGAGAGGAGCAGGCGGGCCTCCTGCACTAACGAGAGAACGTGAGAGAAAGTGCGACGGGAACCAGCTCCGCAGATCGGGAACCAGCTCCGCAGACCGGGAACCAGCTCCGCAGACCGTCGCATCCGGTGCTGCCGCTCACCGTGGGCGTGCAGAGCAGGCTTCTCTTGCAACAGGACAGACACAAAGGAGGCCGTGGCACTTGTCCCAGGCGGCAGGCCCTGCTGCTTGCCGCCCTCCCTAGACCTCTCCCTGAGAGGGGCTTTGCCCGTGGATTGGGGGCGTGGTCTGGGAGCGTGCTGCCCCTCCCTGGTGCCCAGTAAGCGGTAGGCAGGGCCTGCTCACCACCAGCTCCTGGTTCAGTCCAACCCTCTGTTCAGTATGGAGAACCTTCTGGTTCCTAGTGCAGAACTGGCTCGTGGAAGGGGCACTCAGAAGAACCCAGGGGCTGGCATTGCCTGGGGGGCTCAGGCAGGTGGGAAGGAGAGGGGGTGACAGGGGGTCCTGACTGAAGGGACTTCCGCCTGCCTGTGGAAACAACACAAACCAGACCAAGCCCGGAGGGCAGGCTTCCCTTGGCCCCAGGGAAGGACGGCCCAGGGTGTCACCAGGAGGTCATCTCAGTGGGGCACAGGACAGGCCCTGGGACGCACTATGCCCCGGGCCTGGAGGAAGCCAGGGTGCAGACGCTGGAGACAGGGGGCATGGGTCGGAGTCCTACTGCTGGCTGTGTGAACTTGAGCACGTGGCTTAACCTCTCTGTGCGTCCACTTCATCTAGGTCCGGGGATAAGCAGAGAGCCCACCTTCTGGGGAGTCGTGGGAACCCAGTGAGTCCACGTGTCTTGGTGGCTTGAGCCAGCATCAGGGAAGCCTGCAGCCAGTGAGCCACCAGCCTGCTGAGAAGGAGCACCCAGCACCCAGCATTGGCAGCTCTACTTGTACCTGCCCAGAGCAGACAGGTGGCTCCTGTGAGGAGTTGGAAATGGGGAGGGGGCAGGGGCCGGAGAGATGGGCTGGGCTGTCATTGATGGTAGCTGTCCCCTTGGAAAAGATGCCTGTCACCTGTGTCTGGGTGGGGGAGACAGAGGGGGCTCTGACAGATACTCTGCCCCTTCGGGGGTGGGCGCCCTCGCGGGAGGCATGGGGTGCGGGGAGGGGTGTCTCCAGCCTTTCCTCCTCTGATCCCATGCCCCACCGAGGTCTCCATTTGGAGGCTCAGCCCCTGCAGAGCTGGGGGCACAAGGGGGGCGCACAAAGCAGCCCTGCCTTCTCCTCAGATTCCTGCTTTCGACCTTTTCCTGCCTGGGGGCAGAGCCTTTGCCTGGTCACCCCTCACAGCTGTGCTGGCACTTTGGTTGTGACCCACAGTGTTGAAGCCCAGTCTGGGGGCCAGGGGTCTGTTATCCAGGCACCAGAGCCGGAGACCCTAGGCGACAACCCCACTGCCACTGACCGCTGCATGTGGAGTGGGGAGCCCTCCGTCCCTGGAGGCCACAGGCTGGCTGGCTGCGGGGAGGCAGGGCTGGGACTGGCCCCAGGCCTGCCCCGGAGGCAGCGAAACAGGGCTTTGCTGGGGAGATGGCGTTAGGTTCCTCCCCTCTCCCCGGAAAGGCTGGCGCTGGGCCTGGGCTCCTAGGTCCGGTGGTGGGGGTGGGGGTGGGGGGACAGGCAGATGGGTGGGCCCTCTCCCGAACGCCTCTCAGGGCAGATGACGAGGGCCCTGTGATTTCCGAACTGCCAAGCGCAGGCAGTTAAGCAGATGTGAGTGCGGGGCCCCTCTTCTCCCCGGAACCCCTGGGCAGGCGTGCCCCCCTCCAGGCAGGCTGCCGATCCATCGCTGGGACAGGGGATGGGGTTGGGGTTCAGTGCCTTGTGATCTGGGACACCCTGTCGCACGCAGTGACTGCGTCCCCCACCCATGGCTCGGGCACGTTCCCAGACCCGGGAGGACGAGGGACACTGCCCAGTGCTGGCCGAGCGCAGCCTCCGCGCCCCTCCCGCCCTCGCCTTCCCTCCGGCTCCCTCC